CCTATAAAGGTTTCTATGATTTGAATGAATAAAATATGTTTATTCTGTAATTTTACATATTTATTTATTTATGCTGACAGATTTCATTCACTTACTGCAAAATGTCTTCATCGTGTAGAAACTCTGTGATGTACTGTTGACACTTGTTTTTCTTAGATTAAATGGGATTAAAGGTGTAGTTAAACATCTTCACACTGATTGAGAGGGGAGTTTTGCTGGTCAGGCACACTTCAAACCAATTTGGGCAGTATGTGGCCCACCATGTAAAATTAGTTTGACATCCCGGGCTCAAAGTGAGGGGTATGGGAGCTTAAACGACTTGTTTCAGACGATGGATTAACCGAGGGTCTTCACTGAAACCCAGTATAAGTGAATCATGCAAAGCTACTCTAGTAGAATCCAAGAATACAAACATGAAAGCATAATAGGTCCCCTTTAAAGGATTTAATCATACACAGGAAGGCTTAGATTATATGCACTGCCTAGTATTTCTGAAAATGTGAACGTAACAGATAATCCACACACTGGTCCGTAACAAACTGCCAAATAAAAATCAAAAGAAAAAAAATGCAAATGACCATTTTAAGCATTTTTTTAAAGAACTCAAAGCCAATCGAGCCACTAGCACAACAGATAGGAACCGACCAAAGATTCCTGAGTCATTCAAATACTAATCAAACCTTCCTGCATTTTTCCCTCCAAAAGGGAAACACATGTTTTTGTCTCTAACCTGTATCTGAATTCAAAGGAAAAGACAAAGCACAAATATTAGTAACATAAACACAACAAAGGCTGACCCACATATGCCAGTGTACTATCTGCTCTGATATACCCGCCACAAACACAGGGAGAATTCCCTTGTACAAAGACAAATCCCTCAAAGACTACACTACCCATCTCTCCTTGCAGCCCGATCGGGTGTGGAAGCGTTCCGAGCGGCAGTGCCGAGGCCAGATCCATCTTTATTAGTGCTAAACTACAAGTCGTGTACTTTCCTTTTCTGCATGTCAGCTTAACTAGCGAAGATGGATTGTAGTGCAAAACATTACAATTTATACACATTTGAAACAAGCAGCCATTTTAATACTATTAAGGCAAAGCAATATAAACTGATATGATATCACCACCACACAACCCCTGCTGCTGGCCACAACCACCTGCACCATGTCCAGTCATTACAGAAACACACTATATTTACACCGTGTGCTTTTGTTTACCTTGAGCCCCTTTGAAATCATACATATTAACGAGCACACAAAAGTACACTAAAACTATGTACCTGCAGCCTCAAGAGTTTAAACTAAGCAGGGAAGCCGTGAGATGTTGTCATCCCTTTTCTGTGAGCTAGTAAATGCAGAGATAACAGACCCAACTCAGACAATGTTAAACTTGGCGTGATGATAAAGGACTACCGGAAGCAAACAAGTTGTAAGGCCCTCAGTAATCGCCCTCCTCAAAAACAAAGCAAAAAAAAAAAAAAAAGTGCAACTGCTACCAGAGGACTCTCTACCTGGAAGGCACCTGCGGGGCACAACTAGCCTAACTGTCTGAGCAATGAGGTAGTCTGGGTCAAGTGTTGACAAAAAGGTGGAAGGAAGTGGGGGATTCAGGCCTAAGTGTTAGTGTGAAGCAGGTCATAGTGTACAGTTACAAAACAGGAGAATAATCAAAGGAAGATAACACTGCTTGTTTAAAGAGTCCATGCATTTCAGCAGTCACTGATTCCAAAGTGCTGCTGTGTGCTGCCCCCCAGTGGCCAGATTGGTACTCTGCATGTGTGAGCTGTGTGTGTGTGTGTGTGTGTGTGTGTGTGTGTGTGTGTGTGTGTGTGTGTGTGTGTGTGTGTGTGTGTGTGTGTGTGTGTG